CACAACTTAAACAGGACTTAAATAATCTCTCAACCCGATCAAATCTGCCCGAGTTACATCCCTACGCCAGCTACAAGGTGACCATTGTTCAGGAACAGTCGTCGTGGCTCGTCGGTATTAGCCGATCAATTAATAATTAATTTTTTTATTTAGGACACCACGTCGCGTACGTTAAATCCGTTACCAAATAAATTTTTTTAAAAAAACCACAACTCTCACGATGTACGGCGTTGTTTAGCTGTCCCACTTTATCGCTAGATAAATCTCAGCACAACTTAAACAGGACTTAAACAATCTCTGAACCCGATCAAATCTGCCCGAGTTACGGCCCTACGCCAGCTACAAGGTGACCATTGTTCAGGAACAGTCGTCGTGGCTCGTCGGTATTAGCCGATCAATTAATAATTAATTTTTTTATTTAGGACACCACGTCGCGTACGTTAAATCCGTTACCAAATAAATTTTTTTAAAAAAACCACAACTCTCACGATGTACGGCGTTGTTTAGCTGTCCCACTTTATCGCTTTGGTGTGGTCCGTCATACGCGCGTTCACGACGCAAGTGAACACACGCTCTGTGCTACATGGCCTATTTGGGGATGTAATTCGGACTCGGATTAGGAAGTTGTTTAAGTCTAACTCAAATGGAGTTGAAACTTGTTTAGGCCTTATCTAGGTTCGAATTATAATTTTAAGACTCTATGTCCCAACTCGATCCAAATTTCTCGAATTATCCAAATTATATATGAATTTAATTTTCTTTTCAGCTAAATTATAATTTATTTGAATTAAACTTTATTTATATTTTTTTGAGAAAATCATTAGTAATATTAAAACAAATCATTTATATAATGGAAGAAGAATGTCGCTATGGTAGCTTTTATAATTTATGAGTGGAATAAAAAATATAAAATTTTGTATTACTTATGTATATAATATATTTAATAAAATATAATAATATAAGTTATTTTAATATCATATAATGACTAATAATTTATATATAATATTTTTATATATCTGTCTATGTATATAGGGGAAAGAAATAAACCTTCTCGTATAATCCTATTGATCAAGTCTATGCTCCTCCGAACGTCATATCAAGTTGTTCAATTTGTTTGATATTTTTGTTCAAGTCCGTTTTAATTCAGACTTTTGAATTTTTGTTCAAATCTATTTCGAATTTAAAAATATCTTGTCAAAATACTAAAAAAAATTAAATTAGACTCAAGTTGATCAGATTGAATCTGTCCAAGTTGCATCCCTAGCGTATTCTCATTAGAGTATTGCTATGAATACATAAACATTATAATGTTATTTGGTAGCACATAGAATTGCGTACATCATTTTTTATTATTTTTAAAATTAAAAAAAAAAGTTATAATGTGTGAGTATCATTATTTGACATGATACTTTGTAGGGGTAATAGAGATTGACAGAAATATTTTTCAGATTAGTGATAAACATTAAAAAATAAAATTATAATTTTTTAAAAAATTTATAATTAATTTTGAAAAATAATTTTCGTACTTTTTATAGAGTATCACTTTTATTTTGTAGTAGAAAAGTTGCCCTATTCTCATGGGAACAATACTGTTAATACAACTTTTAAATTCTTATTAATAAGTGTTCCTGAGGTATAAGAAAAGACAAAAAAAAAAATTAAAAGCATTGGACAATTTTTTATTGAGGGTTCGTTTGGTATGTGAATTAACTTTTTGACTTTTTAATTTTTTTGGTTATTTTAGTCTGGAGTTTAAAAATCTCGTTTGGGATAGGTTTTTTGATTTTTTTTATTTTTGTCAGAGAAAAAATAAAATGATTATAGTTTAGATATGATATTTTATCTTATTAGACTAAAAAATTTATTTTGTCTTTTTTTGATTATTTTAACCAAAAAATCCCATTTTAGTTTATGCCAAACGAAAGCTAAATTTAATTAAAAATTTTATTAAAATTAATACATATTTTAAATATTTTTACTTATTTTAAAAACACTTTTTACTCTAATTTCAATATTAAATAATGTGCCACCAAGAACACTGTTTACCACTTGCCTTATAAAATTAAGTAATACTCTACTTAGAAATTTTATCCAGAATTCACAAAAAAATAATAATATGTTATTCAAATTTATTTTATGCATAAATTTTACAATACCTATTTTTAATTTTCACCACACATTTCATTCTTGACACAACCCAAAGTCTGGTCATTGACTGTCTATATAAAATTAATATGCCTTCGCTTAGAATGTGAGTTGATTTTTTGACTATTTTAATCTGAGGTTACAAAGTTTCGTTTAAGATAGATTTTTTGGCTATTTTAATTTTTGTGAAAGAAAAAATAAAATAATTATGATTTAGATGTGATATTTTATATTATTGACTTTTTAATCCTTTTTTTATGACTAAAATAGTGAAATAAATAAATAAATAATAATTTATGCCAAGCATAACCTATGTAAATGTCTAATTTGTAATGCTGTAACAAGAAGGAAACACATCAGCAGCACAAGGCATTTGCATCATTAATCTAGTTAGGCTGTGGTTTGGACAGACATATTCAAGCTTTTTACTTTGATTACAACTCAGATAATCTAGTTAGGCACCGGGCTAGTCTGCTTTTGCTGAAATGACTAAAAAGGTCGTGGCTAGTCCTAGAAATGAGTAATAAATTTTCAGCTTAAGGAAGGGCATAACTCTCTTTTCACGTTTACCAGATTGACAATAGCTCAAGAGGCTGCCATCACTGCGTAATTAAAGGAATTATATATATATATATATATATATCATAAAAATAAAAGAAAATTACAAATGAGTGAAATCTTCTCAAAATATTTACAAGAAAAAATTTATAACTTCAATTATTAAAGTTGATAAAATTTATTATTAATTTAATTTAAAGAATTGCAATTTTTCCAAAAATAAATACAACATTTGATACTGCGACTAAAAATGAAAAAATAAAAATTTTAAAACATATCCCACTTAAAAATTTTGATAGGTCCCGTAAATTTTAAATTTTAAAACATGACCAATTTTAATTATGTGATAAGTCCTCAAGAAATAAAAATTATAATATTTGTTTTAGTTTATAGTAATGCTAAACTAAAAATAAATTTTTTTAATTTCAGTATACCTTTCCAATATCGTACATGTTCTACACGAACACAAATTTTAACAGCATATGTTGAAATCATAATTAATACTAGCAGATAGCACACGCGATACGTATATAATTTAAATAAATAATAATAAAAGAAATTATAATTATAATATATATTTCGTTTAAGTGGTAAGAGCTTTCTTATAAACTCATTGTCCTGGAGTTCAAATTTTATCCACTTCTTTAGATAACTTTTTTTAAATAGAAATTTCGAAACCAAAAAATTTGTGAAGTATCAAATCAAGGGGGTTGTGTATCTTAATCCTAGGGCCTTCATTGAATTCAATCATCGTTTTGAGGAGTGAGTTGATAAGTCGTGAGCTTATTTGACTGGGGAAAAAAAATTTATTATATTTGTCAAAAATGAAAAAAAAAAAGTGAAAAATAAATAAATAAAGGAGGGTGATTCCCTCCATTTTGGACCGGAGGGGATGCTTGGACCCATGAGTCTCACTGTAGGTTCTGCTTCAATGATTTAAATCATTCACTTTGTCAGATACTTTTTGTATTTTATCGGTAAAAAAAATTATGTTGATCCAATAACTGCAACTTATTTAATTTATTACTTTTATCATAAAAAATTATGTGTTTTATTTTTTTAAAACACAATTATGATAAAATTTTTTTAGTGAAAAATACAATTATTAGATAGACTTAATTTTTTTTGTGGATGAATTCGTGTTCAACAAAATCAATGATTCGTATTATCAAAACAAAGTGGGTGATGAACTCTAAGTACCCAAATACTCCTCTCAATCCCAATTTTGGATGGGAGGAAATCCTTCTGCACAAATAAAATAAGGTTATATACAATATAAAAAAAAAAAACTAATCAGTGTGTTTAGTTTCAGTTTTTTGAATTTAGTTTTTTTTAAATTGAGTTTTTTATTTTTCATATTTTTTTGTTTTTAGTTAATATTTTTTAAATTTTTAATAATTTTTTAACTTTTTTAGATGCACTTTACTTAGATATATTTAAATAGTAAAATGTTTGTGAAAAAATATTTTAAAAAATAATAAATACAAAAAATATGAAAATTTACTAAATTTTGGTATTTTTTTATATTTAGTGTATTTTTTAAAGAATTTTTTTCACAAATATTATACTTTTTAAGTATCTTTATGTTAAATATGTCTAAAAATTAAAAAAAAATTACTTAAAATATTAAAAAAATTAATTGAAAACATTAAAGTACGAAAAATAAAAAAATAGAATTTTTAAAAAATTATTTTCTAAAAACTGGAACCAACAAACTGAACACAATCCGGGATAATTTTACCCTTTTTCAGCCATAAAACTCCGGTGACTGGGTGTGTCCAGCGACGGCGGGTGAGGAAAGCGCGTGGAATTAGGCTGTACTCCTAATTTAAAGACACAGCAAAGCATGTGTTAATTAATTGGGATGCAATTTCATAGTAAGCAAGATAGAGAGAGAAGATGAAAAGGCGGTCACTATGATGTCCTCAACAACAACAACGAAGTCCATCTGCCTGTCTGTCTACCCACCTCCTGTCCCTCTGTTTTTTCCCATTAGTTATTGGGTACTCCTAGAATATACCAGGTCTGGTAATTGATAAGAAAAAGTAAAATTTAAAATTTTATACCGGTCTGGTAATTAATGAAAAAAAATAAAATTTATAATTTTATACTGATAATTAAAAATATGAAAAAATATAATATATAATAATCAGTAAAAGAATATTAATACGTGACGCTTTAACAGTATTCAATAGATTACATACACCTATACATATACACATACACCTATACATACACCTATACATATAATTAACTCAACATATTCCCAAATCCAACCTCTACTCTCCTTATATCAACCCCCTCTCCTCCCCTTCCCATCCCCTTCAAATTCCTCTCTCTCTCTCTCGAACTCAATACTTTCGCATAGATATACATATATATATAGTGTGAGTGTTTTTACGAGGTAGGTTGTTGAAGACGATGAGTAACAATGTGGGTCAGTTCGGAGACACGACAATGACGAAAGTGTTCGTCGGAGGATTGGCTTGGGAGACTCCCAAGGAAGCCCTCAGAGACCACTTCGATGTCTACGGCGAGATCTTGGAAGCCGTCATCATCTCCGACAAGATCACCGGCCGATCCAAGGGCTACGGCTTCGTAAGTACTGATCGCCGTTTCAGGGGATAATTATTTTTATTTTTTGCTTGCTAACGTGATCCGCTTTTCGTTGGTGTTGTAGGTGACGTTTAAGGAAGCCGAGGCGGCTAAGAAGGCTTGCGAGGAGGCCACGCCGATCATCAACGGCCGCCGAGCTAACTGCAATCTAGCTTCGCTCGGAGCCCGACGCCCCAGGTCCGCATCCTCCGCCATGCCGCCGCCTCCTGGACAAGGTATTCAATTTTTGTCCAAACTTTTTCTCAGTTTTACAGAATTACCATGTAATGGTATTGTAGTAAATTTGGAGTGCATGGGGGTCTAATATTTTAGATGTTTTGTTAAATCGTGAAGGATCGAACGTTGGACCAAGATCTCTGTCTCCGGCACCCGGGAGTCACGTGCAGTGGTATTATCCAGCGGGAACACCTCCATCGCCGTTTCATCATCATCAGCAGATTCAGCACCATCAGGCCGTTCCTTTCTATGGGTACGCAACGTACGCCCCTGATTTCTTGATTTCAATCGGTGGTGTATTTGATTAACATAGGACGCACCTTACGTGATAGATTCTTTTCTTTTTTTTCACAGGTACACTCCAACCTACATTGCCACTGATGTCAGTTACAATCATGTAAGTATCAAGATCCATAATTCCATATTAGTCAAATTTATCAAAAATTACAATCCCATATGATTGTATTGAGTTTGATATAATATGATCAACAATCAAACTGAGTTATAATTTGATCACATTAAATCAAAACTTTTGTTTTAATGGTGTTGGAAATTTGTCTGTATTGTGCGGTGTGGCGGAGCACAGAAGCTAAGCTACACGGGCGGGTCATACATGAATGGGCAATACTCTCAAGTATATCCGGGTCAACCCATGGTAGGTGGGAACACACTGATGCCAATGTACCCTCTCTACCACTACCACCAATCGCAGACAATGGGCCTCCCTGCTCACGTGTACTCCCCAACAGCTGTTGGCCCATTCCCCACAGGCCCAGCCCTCATCTCAAAGCCCACATCCTTGGCTCCTACCACAGGTACATATCCACATTAAAAACTATATATAAAAAAAAGTTTTGTTTTTATAGTTTATATATATACATATTTGATTGATTGGTTATTTCTGTTATATTTAAGAATGAGAAAAATGTTATTAATTGCATGCAAAAAAAAAAAATGTATAGAAAATATGTGAAATTTTTGGAATAGGTTTTATTAAACAATTTGAAATTTTTTTTTTGGGGGGGTATCTATTTTTTTAACAATCAACAATGTTATGAATTCAAAAATATAGAATGGACAAAGATTTTACTTCCATATATTATTTTTATCGATGTTGATGGGAAGTTTGTAATATGAATTTTATTTTCAACAATGATTCATCCCCTTTTCTTCCCACCTTCTTTGACCCCCTCTCTCTCATTGGTTACATTTTCTTTTTCTTTTTCTTTTTTTTCCTGCTCCTCCAATCACCACCTGCCACGTGGCAAAGGGGGGTGAGGGGTGACCCCCAAAAAGGGGTGACCACAAAAGGGGTCCCAAGCATTATTCTTTTATTTTATTCACAAAAGTGAAACTGGGATTTGGGTATGGCCCACTTACAGTTGGGCTTTTTTTTATAGGGCTCAGTGGTCAAAAGGTCAAAAATGACCTTGATTTTGAGGATTGTCAGCTTTTATATTTTTTTAGGTAATATTTTAAAGAAAAACTTAACAGAAGGAACAGGCTGTCAAACGTTACTATGTTTGGTCTTCTTTTACAAAGCACATGTTCCTCTGCAATGCAACTAACGATTGAGCAGAAGTTATTATTAGTCATCTTGGAGCAATGCTTTGTCTGGTTATTTTTTAAAAAATAATATAAAAATGATAAGCATGAGTTCTTGAAATACATTAAAACAATGTAAAAATGAACAATAAAAAAACAAATTTTTAATACTTGAATATATACTTGAGAACAATTTATTTTTGCTTAACTTTCAATTTGAATGGTTGAATTATCATAAGAAGAGATTAGAGAGAATATGGACAAAGATCCTGACTTGGCTTAATGTTTTTAGTTTTGTATGGGAAAATCAGTAAGTATACTGTTCCCACTTTCTTCCATGTTCCAACAGATGGTTAAAATCTAAGGAATCTTTGAAGCACATGGTTTACAGACATGCCCATTGTTGGATGTCATGTGCCTAGAATCAGAACAATATAGTTGTAAAAATATCATTAATAAATGAAATTAGGTCTAAATGATTGTTAACAGTTTGTATTGAAATAAAAAAATAAATGAGTTTTTACCTTTCAATGTTAAGATGGCCCTTAGCAATAGTTTATAGTACTATTTTGAAGACAACTTCCTTATATAGTTTAAACTGATATTACACAAAACAGTTTGCTTGGCTGTGGAATAGGTACAGTTGGGACTGGTGAAGCTTTGAAAAGGGTGGCTAAGAGGACTTAAAAAAAAAAATGACAAGAGGAGGAGGAGGGTGGTGGCTGCTCAGAACAACGTTATTATCTGATCTGTGGTGGCTCTTCAATATTTTTTCTTTTATTTATATTTTTATTTTTAGGTGTCTGATTATTTAGATTCATTCATTATCTTCTCTAACATTGCACTCATGTAGAGGTTGCAAACAATGGAAAGAAATTATTGTAACAGAAGTCAATGTGTTGAGTATTCTCATGTCTTATGGGATATGCTTTTCATGGTTCCATTGAACTTTGCTTCATAAATCCTTCATCTTTAAGTAACAATTCTCTCTCTCTCTCTCTCTCTCTCTCTCTTGATTGGTTGGTCATGTTCGAGAGAAAATTGAGGCTTTTTGAGCTTTTTTCCACTTCACCACACACACAATTTTACTTATGTTAAAAAGGAAAGATATATTTTAAAAGCCAAATGACCTGTTGTGTGTATCATTGATTGTTATTGTTTGTATCGGGTTTGTTGGATCTTATTTTAAGCAAAAAGATGATAATTTATATGTAATGTCGAACCTTAGGCTAGCCTGAGCTTTGTGATTGTTATTTATGTTATCAACATTAATTTGTGGAATTGTCATTTGGAGATCATAGCTCCTATTTATGTACTTAAAATTATTTTAGCAAAATATTGACGTGGGACGTGATGTTTAAGCTATTATTATCCTTCGCAATACATTAATCGTTACATCTTATTGTAAGTGGGAAGATGATAATCGATATGTAATGCTCCAAGTTCAACACAAAGTGGCATCTTTAGGCTAATCATTTTCTATGTGAGATGAAGTGGGTGAAAATTAATCAAGTCTTGGTGCTAGGCCCAATGCAATACTCACTCCAAGGTGGAGCTAGGTCGGACCTCGGCCCTATGGCCAACACTTGCTCCGAAGTAAGACAATCATAGGAGTTCGGCCCAATGTACGAGCGTCACTCCAAAGTGGGCCGAGCAACATGGTGGACCTTCTGGATGGACAGAACCACTCCGAAGTGGGCTGAGCAACATATTGGACCTTCTGGATGGACAGAACCACTCTGAAGTGGGTTGAGCAACATGTTGGACCTCCTAGTTGGACAACCGTTCTAGAGCAGACCAACTTAGAGAAGACCAATTTACTGAAGATCTTTCTTGGATCCACTAGAGACAAACAACTCTGCTCCTCTCCCTCTGTATGAACATAACGTGGAGACATGGAGGTACAGAGGGACAAGGAGCATATATGACAGACCTGCGTCTGAATGACAGACGGAGTGGTCGTCCTCTTCCAATGAGAGATGTCCGCTAATGAGACAAACAAAACAGACCTGCACTCGAGTGTTAGGCGGAGTGGTCGTCCTCCTCCAATAGGAGACGACCACGAATAAGACACGTTGGACAGATGGCGGAGAGAGAAGGACTTGAACGACAAACAACCTTCTCCTATAAAGGTGAACACTATTCACTCTGAAGAGATCCGAAAATGGACACACTCAACACATATACTCTTTGTATTCTCTCTTTTTTCTCTCCCTGAGTCTCTGACTTTACCATCGGAGGGGTTTCCGACCAAACCCCGGTCGGGCAGCCTCACCGTTTGTTACTCTGTGCAGATCTTCAATTCCCGGAGCACGGTGTTCATCCACGAAGTTCAACCTTTCTTCATAGTGCGGAAATCACCCCCGCACATGAGACAAAATCGTTACATTACCAGTAAAATTTAAAAGTACTCTACGAAAACTTAAAATAAAAATGAAAACTTTAAAGAAAGTAACTAAAAGCATTCAATTGCCTTAGATTGATGAAAACAATTTTGCAATGAAAGCAAGCTTTGATTTGGTGGTCTTTTTTATGGATAAATATAAATACATTCGCTAAAATTTATTTAAAATATAAATGGCTCTCTATAGTTTTAAAAATCATAAATACTTTTTGTTAAATTTTTTATTTAATAGAACTAATAAAAATAATAATTTTTTAACTACGTTCCTATACAATAATAAAATTATCTGAATCGTTAATTGAAATAAATTTTTAATATCATTAAAAATTATTAATTAATTTGATAATTTATTAATAAAAGTGATAATTTATTATGCGATTAAAAACTTAAAAGAGTGTTATGTAATTTCTAAAATTATGAGAAATTATTCTTGTTTTAAACAAAACTCAAATAATGTAGGAGGGAGCTAGGTTGCTAAAGGCTGATGATGGCTCATGGACCCTAATGGCTAGCTGGCTAATTAATTATTGGGTAAATTATAAGTACATACAGATTGTCTCCTGTGGTTTGAAAAATTACAAATATCCTTTTATTATAATTTTTTATTTAACAAAATTAATTAAAAAAATAAAATTCATAATTGCTCTCTTATACAATAATAAAATTACCTATATTATTAATTGAAAATATTTTTAATATCGTTAAAAATTGTTAATTGACTTGATGATTTATTAATAAAATGGACGATTTGTTATGAAATTAAAAATCTCAGGGGTGGAATGTAATTTTCAAAACCACGGAGGTGATCCATATTCATTCACATAAAATAAAAAAATAAAATATTCATTCACATAATTTCTCTTCTAAATTAAGCAAAATTTTAAAAGTTGATCCATATTCAAATATTTCATCAAAACTGTCTTTACATGCATGAGAATTGGGGGGGGTGATAAAAAAATATAGGGATAATTACAACCAAAAAAAAAAATACTGTTTGAGGCTTATAACAAAATAAACTTCGAATTTTTAATTTTATCAATTTAAATTCTAATTTTTTGATTTGTTTTCAATTTAAACCATTCGTCTATTGTTGTTAAGTAAAATCGATAGGAAAAAAAAAGTATATGTAAAATGTCTAAAGTATCATTTTTCATTGAATTTAATGACTAATATTCTATTTTTTCTGATGATTTTACTTAACGAAAATAAACAAATGGTTTAGATTGAAAAGAAATCAAAAATTTAGAATTTAAATTGACAAAATTAAAAACTCATGATTTAATTTGTCAAAACCTAGGGTTTTTTTTTTTTATTTTTTTGTAATTTCCCCAAAAATATATATATGCACAAAATGGAAAATGTTTGAAACTTACAAAAAGTTTTTATAATTTGATCTCACAATGATGTGATATGGAATAGATATCAACTTTTGATTTGCTACCCATTCAATAATATAAGGGAGTTTGTGTCAACTTTTAATTTGTTATCTATCCAATAATATAAGCTCCAACTCCCTTGAATTTAATCAACGGGAAATGATTGAGACCCCCTCCACACCACCCCACACACACGTGGCGAGTGGTGATTGAAGGAGAAGAAAAAAAAGAAAAAGAAAAACTAGCCAATCAGAGAGAGAAGAGGTCAAAGGGGATATCTCATTGAGGTCTAACTCATTTTCCATTAATCAACAATTGCAAACTACAAGGCCTTCAAAATACATCTAATTATAACATTAATATTGACACATCATTCTTGTGCACAAGATTTATCGCATTTTCGTAATCAATTTCATTGGACTTCGTATACGTTTAAATAAGAACTTGAGATAAGAACTTGGGTCCATGAAATTCACTATAGGTATCATTTTGATAATTTAAATAGTTTATTTTGTATAACTTTATGTATATATCATTTATTAAAAAAATTAAGTCAACTCAATAATTATATTTTTTATTTTATTGTATTTATATTCAAAAAATAAATGATTTATTTTTTTTAAAAAAAAATTAACACAAAATGTGTGACTTGAAATGGATGTAGAGCAGAATATTAATGAAAGGAGGACAAGCACAGTTCCAACTGTGTATACTAGCATAGTAACTAACCACTTTACTAGCAAAAAAACCCAAAGGAAAATGATATAGGTCTTAATTTTTTTATTAAATAAATCATTAAATTTTTTATATGGATGTTGAGTTTACAAAATTATGGATCACAAAATATTTGATCAGTTATTTAGTGGAAAAATTAATATCCCTAATATTACTCAAAAAAAAAAAAAACACAAAACACAAAACACAAAACAAGCAACAGCCCATTGTATAAAAGCTTCAATGAACCCACCCATCAAACAAAAGTTTGGCAATAATCAGTGGGCAGGCCTATTCTTACCGAACCCACTGACAAAACCCCCCTCAGTTCTCGTAGAAATCTATGGGGCTTTTTCTTTTCTTTTTTTTTTTTTTTTTTTTTTCTGCTTAACTATGTTTGGATTTGGGCCTATATTTTGACTCTCCACAATTGCCCCTCTTAGGCAAGATGATCTCCAAAGACAACAATGCCAATCAACTTGAGAACCCTATGTAGACACCCCATTTTTGACCACTCTTAAGACTTGGGCACTTCATTCCGATTGGTCCTTACAGAAAATAAGAAGGTGTTTCTCACATAATCCTTAATAAGAAAACTTATAATTTGAGCCTTGTTTCCAAGCCTAAACATCCACTAATTACCTTTCCAATAGAATATTTTGACCTCACGGTAGCATCCAGAATGGTTCGTTTAATTAGGATCAACCTTCACTGCACTTCCGGGAGCTTTACTGAAAAATTCTCCCAAAATCTAGGTTACAACACAATTATTTGAAACATCTGGGCCAAATTGTAATTTTCAAAACTCAGGGAATATTCTGTTATGTGAGGGAATATTCTATTAAGTCATGAAATATTCCGTTAAAATGTAGAATATTTTGTCAATGCTGACTGGATTGACGACATGGCTGACACATCGCGCTGACTAGGCTTGCAAAAAAAAAAAAAAAAAAAAAAAATTAAATTTAAAAAAAGTTTGGAAAGGGGTTTGAAACAACAACAAACAAAAGCTTAAAAAAGTGAACTGGGAAAAAATCCCAAACTGTCATGCCCCAAATTTTATTACTCGGATAATATTACTAATATTTTGATTCTAACAACTTATTTTAAGTGAAAAAAGCTGATTCTGAGAAGCTGCTCACCCCTTGCTTCTGATTATCAGCTTCTACTGTGGACATGTTAATTCACAATTATACTCTTAGATTTTTTTATTTTTTATTTTTTTAAAAATAGAAAAAGACTCAAATGGACTATAGAATATTATTATTATTTTTTATGAGAAATGTAGACAAATAGTGAATAATAAAAAAAAAAGTTAATTGAAAAAGTTACTTCACAGTTTATTTAACAAACACTACTCAGCAACTTAAATTTATAATTCAACAGTTACACCAAACAAATTAAGAGCTTCTGATTAAAGTCACAATTTATAATCTATTAAGTTATAATCTATAATTTATTTTAACAGTTACACCAAACACCACCAATA